CAACTTGAATATTTTTTCTCTTCCTTGGTTAACACGTACTTTTCACTTATAAGACGAATGTATAAGAATATCAAATTTATGTCTTCCTCTTCAAGTAACACTTTTTGGCAATTTAATTTTAAAAAGTATGAAAATACGAGTCCACGGTAGTCTTCAAATTATTATGAGAACTTGATTAGTTTGATAAATAACAAAATAATATAGTCTTCAAATTATTATGAGAACTTGATTAGTTAGATAAATAACAAAATAGGTCATAATATGAAACACTTGTTGATAATTGGGTTATAATAATTTCCTATTTACTATCAAAACCTCACTATATATAGCAATGTTAACTTTAACGATGTAAATTCCTTGCATTATTACGTTGACATAAATTTAATTACTCATGTTGTATATTTATATTAAAAAATTTGTGATCCATAGCTTGTTTCTTTATAAGTTTTATCTTATTTTTCATGAAAATCTTGTAAAGCAGTTTACAGTTACAATAATATTTATACCTGGCTATATGAATATTTGTTTATCATTTCATTTTGTATGTTACCAAATATATTGAAAGATCTAAAATTACTAGATTATAGGCAACTATCACCGGCCACATTAATTTTAGCTTACTCACCACCTTGTCATTCTTAAAAGCAAGAGTCTCTTTAGGCTGATGCAATACATGATTTAATGGTTGCCCAAAAAGACAAAGTTAATAAATATCAAGCTAAAAGACAAATACTTGATAGAAATATATGAAGGATTATTTCAAAAACAAAATCAACAGAGTCAACAATCATTGAGAAAGGTGACACCAAGAGACACCGAGCCCGATGAATGAGTTTGAGGTCGACACAGTCCCTCATAACGAAGTTGATGGCATAAACACTCCTAAGAAAAATTTTGTTTCCTTCCGCAATTTATTTGACACTGGCTTGTTGGTTAACAAGAATAAATTACTTTAGCCGTTGAATTAATTGTAGTACTCACAATCGAAGTGATATTTCTATCTTGACCTTCAGATAAAGCATTACCCAGCTTAGCTCGAGATAGACCAATGCTATGCACAGAGACTATATATCCCTTCCGTTTTCAATAGTTGAGCTCTCACTTAAACTTGATTACATATTACAAGCTGAATTTGTAATATTTTGTTAAACTGTCACATCTAAAAGTTGAGTGAATTGTCCAAATGGTTACTGAATTTTGTAAAAAAAATTTTAAGGGTTACTGAACTTTAAAAATCACATAAATGGTCACTGAAATTTGTAAAAGTTTTCTACGAGCTCATTGAATTTTAAAAATCACTTAAATGATCACTGAACTTTGCAAAAGATTTCCACGAGATCACTGAACTTTGCTAAAGGTTTCCCAATGGTCACTAAATTCAGTGACTCTTGGGAAACCTTTAACAAAGTTCAGTGACTATTTAGGTGATTTTTAAAGTTCAGTGATCCCGTAGAAATCTTTTATATAGTTCAATGACTATTTAAGTAATTTTTAAAGTTCAGTGACCCCTTAGAAACCTTTTACAAAGTTCAATGATCATTTGGACAATTCACTCCTAAAAGATTGAACAATTGAAACGAAAATTTTATTTAATTAAATTGTGTCATCTTTCTACTTTTAGGGATGGCAACGGTTCGGTTTCGATTCAATTCGGTCAAAATCATCATCGAACCGTCAAATTTTTTATCATACCATAACCGCATCATAACCACGTAAATCGGTTCGATTCGAGTAATAACTACGAAAATAAATTATTTTTTATAGATCCATCCGTCAAATTGATATAAAATAATTTATGAAAAGAGAATCAATGAAAACAAAAACACAATATTCCAAATGAAAATGCAAACATTATCCCAAATTTCAATTACAAAATACAAATTTAACAAACAATATTATAAATATAACAATACTAAATTTTTCCTTTATTTTTTATTCTTGTGCATTGTAATTACTTGATTCATGCTCAATAATTCAAAAGTTTCAACCTTAACTCATATTCAATCTTCATTCTTCCCCACAACTCTTACTAGCATATGTCAGCACTCAAAATTTATTCCTATATAGTAAATAAGAAATGTAATTAGAGAATAAAACGATATTACCTAATCCAGAATGGTTTTAACTAAGATTTAAATAAAAAAAAATGTACCTCTTCGTCAACTTCCTCCTCACTAAACATTGTCATCCCCAATAAAAGAATGATTTTTTTTAAGCTGGTAATCGGTTCGATTTTGATTCGACGGCATAAATACCATATCCGCGCCGCCATGAACCAGTTCATTAAAATCAAATATCATATCTGCCCCATTGCACCATCAGTTCGATTTTTTTCGCCCCATTCGATTCGATTAACCGCAATTTTCGATTTTAACGATTCAAATTACCGTCCTTATTTTAGAGTACCAAATATTCAATTTACAATGAATCATTCAAAGTGTTTATTAAAACTATTTTGTTGGTGCCACCAAAAAAAGAGCCCCCACATCCCATTGCTTTCCCTTACCAAATTTCTAGCATGACACTCATGATCAATCTAAGTGCTTATGGATAATATACCCCAATTCATCAAAAATAAAATAGAAATAGGCTCACGAATACAACTTATTAGTAGTTTCAACTGCTCAACTCCTACACTCAAAACGACGAATATCAAAATATTTAAGCACGAGACTACTTTTACTAGAATTACCAAACATTGTAGCAATGATATTTGGAATTCAATGATAAACCACGTTCTGCATTTCAATTTGGGTTGGCGATGGGAGAGTTTTCACAAATTTTGACCTAATATTTTAACTTTTTACCTTTACAGTAAACCATGTGGTAAGGAAAATCAAATCAAACTATGCACTTTATTCGAAGGAGTGACCAAATGGTGAACCATTCATTCAATTGATATTATCCGTTAGATTAATTTACTAATGTGAAGATATTGTCAAAATAAGTAACTTAATTTTAGCATTAACTAACAACGTAACTTGTTTACTCTCGAAATTATAAGAAATAATTTTTTGCCAATCCAAACATCCTCTTATGTTCACACTTCAATTTTTATTATCCAATAGATTAGTAGTACTAATGTTGCATAAAATATATGTAGATATATTGCATCTAAAAAAAAAAAAAAAAAAAATTCTTAGTGTCTTTTTTGGTAGGGATTAAAATCTAGATTCTAATTTAAATTAAAGTCGACAATTAATTTTAACTGCATATTTCATAAGATCCCACAATTTTCAACCACACATTTCATCAACTTTTATCAAAATTTACCAAAAATTATTCTTGTAAAGGGCATTCAACAATAAAATTTATTTCTAAGGAATTATTTGATAATGAGCAAGAGTTAAAACAGAATTTGATCTTGTTGAATTTTTAAACGCATTATTTCCCTTTCATTTCATACATCAATCTTTTAATTGTCTATCAAAAGTTTAATGCGTGTACGACTTTTCATGAATTTAAACTTAAAAGTTGAAATAAAGGCCGTTGAAAGTTTACATTTTTCTCTTTTTTAGTATTTTCTAGTGCCATTAACAATTTTGATTCTTTTTTAATCCTTTTCGGCCAAAAGACAAAGTAAAAGCAAAATGAATATTCTATTCAAAAGGCGTGATTAGAATCTATTGACGACTTTCTTTTGACTCCGTAAAATTTAAATATCAAATTCAAATGAGTTCCTATTTGGTTTAGCTAAAAAAGTTTATTAAAATTTAAATTAAAATGAACAATTAATTTTAATTACACATTTCATTGGATTCACAATTAAATCATATATTGTATCAAATTTTATCAAAATTTTACTAAAAATATAATTTTAATCTAAATAAAAAACAGAGCATAAGTTTACTAATTATCAAAGATTCCCGACAAGGGTGTACTGGTAAGAGTTAACAGAACCCTTACCGACGCCTTACATTTGAGGGGTTGGAGGGATTGGGTAGGTTAATTTTTTTTAATATTGATTATTTAGTGAGACCCACACTTTTGTGTGTTTTCTATAAATTCTCTGTAGGAAAATTTTTTACACCAATCATTTTTGTCCCGACAATGGTTTTGTCTAGCATTTATAGTCAAAAAAATGTACCGATAAAAGGATGTGAGGGCAGAACATGGGGGTATGGGAATCTAGGCTAAAATGACGCTATAGTCAACGCATTCCGGTGACCTTTAAAGTAATATATTAAAATTTACAGGTCATTTTGAAAAATAACCCTTAAATTCCGTCGATTATGCCGATGGCTTATGACTAATAATAATTGAACGTAGGACCTTACTACATGTACATCAAATTTTACATAATAGATTACATATTGTTACTCTATCATTTATCAATTTAAAACAGTCAATTTTTTCATTAAATATTTTCCTTCCACATCATTTTATGCAATCTCTTATGTACAAATTTTATGTACGAGCAATATAATCCTTAAATGTACCAAATAATCGCTGAAAAATTCCATCAATTATCATTGATTAATAATAATAATAATAATAATAATAATAATAATAATAATAAATTAAATGGATCAAATAATCACCCGCCAAAAGTTTTATCATAGGTAATCTGATGTGAATTAATATTTGTGGGTAATTTCAAGCTGTATTACTGATAGTCATGATCAGCACGCTTCCATCATCATTACCGACTACAATGTCATCATCAACATAATAGTAGTTGGTATCAAAGACAACAATTTTAACAATTGTGTTATCGATTATTACCATTACATCGTTACCAACAATTAGTGACTACATTATCATTATGTTGTTGTCGACAATGCTATAATCGCTTATCGCCAGTATAGAATTTGGTTCTTTATTTTAATTCCGATTACTTACTAGCATCAATTTTGTCCGTTAATTAAATTTATTAAAAGAAGAAAGTATGATCGAAATGCAAGTTATAACTTAGAAACACATTGAGTTTTTGATTTATTGGTTCAGAGATAATCACTGACCAGTAATCTATATAAAAAATAAAAGTAAATATGTAAATTTCAAATTTTTTAGGCCTTGTCAAATATGGGGCCTTAGACAAATCCAAAGGGCCTGATACAGAATTCTTCTATCAGTATCCAACTTTACCCATTAAACTTCAAATAGCTGTCTATAGCATCATAAGGAGGATCTCCCTTTCCAGGTACAAAAAAAATGGTGTATAGCACTATAAACTTTTGAGTGCAAGATAGAGCATAGAGGAATTTCAGAATGTCCTCACAAGTTCCAAATGTCTCTTACCTAAAGTGCATCTTGGTCTCTCAATTTGGAGTCCCAACTTCAATGCCCAACCTAAATATTTTGTTTTTCGGTTCACCTAGTCAATGTCTAGCAAAGGCACCTGAAGTTCAATATCACAAAAACAATCTTCAAAGAACTACCACACTCAATAAACCACACATTCTGGACAGGATAAATCCCTCATTCGATGCTAATCTCCATCCAAATGGATGTATAAAATTGAACCATTTCTTTCTACAGAAATATAAATATTGATTGTCACGTTTCTTCGTTCAGTTAATAAATATTCCAACTTTTGTTTGATAAGTACAATATTTCAACAAAGGAATGTTGGGATAGATTAAAGCACGCTCCATAATTCTTCAGGACTGAAGACATTCTTGAAACAATGTTCATAGGTCACTGACCTGTCCTTTGAAAAAAGTGTTCAATCTGCAAACATCCTTGGGAGTGTGAACTATTTGTTTTAGCAACATGCTTGAATTTTTTTGCACAAGACGAAGCATCCTCAATGTCCTGGAAAAAATAAATTCAAATCATAATTTTAAATAGTTCTTTAAATGTAACCACAAGCACAATTCAGGACCAGAGTGTCACTTCAGACGCAGTTCATGGATGAACACGTAAAAATTGTTTTGCAGTAACAAAAACCAGGAATGAGAAGAAATACCCACCGATGATGACTGGCCAAGAGATCTTAGAACTTTAATTCTACCACCTCTACCATCAGCTCCAACTGCAATCAAATTGCCGGTGCTTGCATTTGATCCTTGTAACCCTGTTGATAATGTTGTTGATTCCTTCCGTTGAGCCTTCTTGCACCATTTCCCCAAGTGCCAGTTAGTTCCATCAGGACCAAGTAACCCACCAGAGAAGCAATTATCACCTGGAAACTTATAGTTGGTCAAAGAAAGTTGAATGCCGAACCCCAACCCACCCCCATAACCAAGTGCATTCAATAGGAAAAACTAGATATAAAGGGAGGGTAGATACTTCTCACATTCCAAAGCAATTCGTGCTGCATTACTCATCTGCTAAAGGCAGTCTTTTTAAAATGATAGTACCATACTAACCTCAAATGTAAATGGTCCTATACAATACAATTATATATAGATGAAAAAATTACCCTGTGCAACTGGAACTGAAGTCTCCTTCCTAATATGAAATGAGGTTTGAATTGAACTCGAGTCACCATAGCATATCACCTCATCATCAATGACAGCAGGTGGATGTTTGGCATGGTCACCCAGGTTGCCATCAACCCCATCTTTGTTGCCAAATATTTGCACTAGTTTTTCATCGTTTGTATTAGAAGCTACATTTCCTCTTGATAGATGGGAACTCCGCATCACTGTCTCTTTGTCAATTGAAGCCATCAAACTTTCAAATGAGTATTCTTGCACATAACTAGAAGGATATATCATATCTTCGTCCTCGTTTATTAATATAGGACCACTCTCCTTATTGTTTTGATCAGCACTACTTCTAGGTGTCATATCATCTACTGAGCTTTTCCTGAGCATGGGATTGGAAGGTTTGAATTTTCTCATTTTCCTTAAACAAAATGAATTATCTGGCATCCCGCTGGTTTCATCTAAATCAATCTGTAAATCAGGTTCCTTCATTTGATCTTGCGAACTCGTCTTGATTTTGCAGTATGGATCAATTCCATTTGGTACTTGAGCAGCAATTTTCTTTGAAGCTCTCAAAGCTTCATTATCTTTTGCTTCAATTGCTATCTCCAGTTCTTGGACTCTTAACTATGAAAGGCCGGGAATTAGAATACCTAAACACCAATAGAGAGATTTAATTTTCTAGGTTTAACATACCTTTAGCTTTTTTATTTTATCTTTAGCCCTCTCAAGTTTTTGAGCTAAACGGGCTTCCCCTCTTCCTAAGAGGTTGCACTTGGCCATCAATTCCTTGTAACTCCTGCATAGCATGCAATATTAATCATATACCAACTGGGGAAACAAACTGGTTGCACAAAAAGCACATAGAACTTATTTATTTAAAGGTTTCGCAGGCCAAAAGCTCCACAATAACTTGCTGCCCATTCTTACGAGCCAAATTCGGGCCCATGTATTTAATGTTAGTATGTTTTATGTAATTGATGAAAAAGAATTTATGCCAAAATGAGGTTTATCATGAGCATTCTCTTCACAGCATTGATATTAGTCAACACTCATTCAAGTAGAACTCACTATTTCCTCAGTCAAGAACTAAACCTCCCCATCTGATTTGACTGTGAGTATTTAAAGAGTTGAAAAGTTATTTGGGGTAACTTTCTACTCTCAAAAGTATTGGCAAGAATCTTGGTGAATCACATTGTGTACATTTTAACAGAGGATATTTATGCAAGGAAATATTATTTAGGAGAAAAGGACATTAATCCCATAAAAGAAATGGGATCCTTCATTTCAAGGCCAAATGGAGGGGGTATAAGAATAGTGAACCAGAACTCACTGAGGGACTTTGATTATGATCTTATGTGGTCTGATTATTTGTCTTCCGAAAGTAACATGAGTATTGGCCACTTTGGTATCTATCTGGTTTAATTGGTAAAACTGTCATGAAGATGTGAAAACACCAAGGTCCATCTATAATACAACTATCTTGTCATGGATCACCAATGACTTTCTTACTTGTTACGGATCACCAATGACTTTCTCAAAACATCAACTGTTTCTTTGCTGCCAGCATCATGACCGAGAGAAGCAAACTTCAAAACCTCATCTTCCTCCAAGTTTAAATCAGAGGCCCTATGTTATCAGCAGGAAGTAAGAAACATTGAGCAATCAATATTTATATTGCAATGAAGCAATAATTGACCTTTAAAATAGATGCACATACAGTTTAAGTGCTGCAAGTTCCTTGGCTAAGACCAAATTTCTCTCCTGAAGCTTCGTGCGCTCCAGAGTTGATTTATCCAGGTCCTTCAAAAAAAATTGATTTATCTCAATTAAATGCTTTTAATGGGCTTCACAAACCATAACAAGGAAACTCATAGGTGTGTACATCAACCATCAAATGAGAGTATAAACAAATTTCACCTCTGATTTCTTACTAAGCAACTTCTGCACAGTTGATTTCTGAGATAGAGCTTCATTTTTCAGGGTCACTTCTACTTTCAATTGCTCCTTGCACGTGAACAGCTAATGTAAAACATTAAACATTACCATTAGAAGGGAATTGTTTATGGCCTCAAATCATCCGCAGGATATGTTACAAATACAGTTCTTTCGCAATTTAATAAAACCAGAAAGAAAAACACAAAATCTAACTCAAATGTCATTCCTTAGTCTTTTGTCATCAACACCAAGTTAATAGCTTTTTGACAATTTGCAAAATTGACAGAAAAAGTCCGCATTCAGGAAAAGATGAAAAGTCCCAAAAGTCCACACTTTTAAATTACAGGATGCCTATGCAACTTTCCAGAATACTGCTAGTGTCAACAGCGGCATGATCGATATGCAACATAAATAGGTGCATGAAGTTCTGGGCGGACTTGTACTGAAATTAAACATATTTAAGTTGCCTAACTGTCATATAACTTCAAAAGAGGAAACTTGTGGAAGTAAATGATTAAATCATGTCTAAAATAAAGATCCTTTAGATGAATTCATCAAATATGAAGAAGGGTCAAAATTGTGTTGACTTTAGTTGTCCCCATGTTATTTGATCAAAGTGAAGGATAATAATGAAGTGTGACATCAAAAGTTTGTCTTTTCAGTTCTCTTAGCTCTCTAGCAGAGTAAAAAAATATAGCCCAGCAATTAACATCAGCTTTATATTTTACTTATTATCACCCCCAGCAACTTTGCATGCCGAAAAATTTGAATTAGCTGATTAGGTAACTAACCCAGATTGAAGTTAAGGAAAAGAGATAACGAGAAAGTAAATATAATGAAGAGTGAAAGAAAATATTACTAGAAACAAGCGAAACTGTTTTCTTGACTATTAATAATTATTTTGCACTCTACCACACAAAAAATTGCTGCGGCTCCAATCTAAGCTAATAACCATTTTTTTTTTTTTTAAATCTCTAAGTAGATAAGCAGAGAAAGAGAATTCAGCAGAATGGGGAATACCTGATCAATGACTTCTTTAAATTCCTTTTGTTGCACCTCCAATGCAGAACCAAGTCCCACAACCTTTCCTTCTAACCTCTTGACCTCTGTTCGCAATTCCTCCGAATTTTCCTCATAATCATGTGGTTTTTGAGAAAGACTTGAATCGCCTGGATCATTAATTGACTGAAAATAAAGGCGCCCCACTTTTGCCTCTGTACAAGTCTGTTTGCATACTGGACAATTCCTCTTCTTTCCATTTGGGCAGTACTCAAACCATTGTTGAAGACTAAGATTTGAGCAATCATACTGAGTCAAATTTCACCGACAATTGAAATAAAACGGACTAATTCAAACCACACTACAGATAGTCACAATCTTTTTATGTGCAAGTGCAAAGCAAGGCTCTTTATACTCCCTGGGAAAATTGACAACAAAATGAAAATGCATATGCAAACAACCATATATCCATACACCTTCAATATATATGTATAATGATTAGGCCTAATAAAATTATTGTGATAACAATCAAACTGAAAACTTTTCATCCTATACTTTCAATAAGATACTCAAAAATGAATTCATTTGGGTGACCAAAATTTCTGAACTACGCCCCCTTTGAAGAAATTCCATAAATCCAAAAGATCCAAAATTTCTACACTTCTTTAGTTTCAAATACACCATTCTATGAATAATTTGACAAACCCAGTCTATATAATAATAATAATAATAATAATAATAATAATAATAATAATAATAATAATAATAATAATAATAACAACAACAACAACATTCTAAAAAAGGGTTCAGTTTATTCGGTGCAAAAAACCATCATCTAACTGAATAAATAAAAATTTCTGCATAAGAAACTGACCAGAGCTCGTGAAAGACGTGGCCGCAAACAGAAATGGATTGAAGATCTTCTATTATGGGTTTGAGGTCCTCATAGCAGATTGAGCATATGGTTCTGGCAAATGAACTTTTATTAATATTATTGTTGTTGCATCCAACCATAGCTTTACCATCAGAGAATTATTGTGTTTTTCCATGTTTACATAGTGTACGAATGAGGGTTTTCGCGAATTTTTTTAAAAAATGGAGCGAATAAATGGGCGGCAAATGGAAAAATGGATGACGGAAGTGGTAGCCAACGAAAAGTAGTGTGGCAGATCACTAAAATTACCGGTTAAAGTCATCAATGGTCATCCAACTTTAATTTAGGTGTACTGAATTGCTAAGGGGCTGTTCTTTGTATTTCAGATTTTAGTTTTGAGTTTTGAATTTATTTTGTATTTTGAGTTTTGAGTGTCCATTTTAAAATTGTTGAAAACACGTTCTTTTTGTCATTTTGAAAAATTGTTTTCAAAAATTAAAAAACGCGTTTACTTTCTAGTTTTGAAAAATTGTAAAAGCAATTATTCAATATATATAAAGTTTATTTACTTATACAACAAAGCAAAATCAGTTGTCATAGTAGTTAAGGCACTAAAAGTCCATGCTGATGACCAGGGTTCGAATCTCGGTTCACCTATTTATTTGAAAGATTTTTATATTGTGCATTAAAAAAAAAACACCTTGGTATTGAAAGTAGGCTGATGAAATCGAACTTAGGGATGGCAAAAAAACTCATTAAACCCGATACCCACAGGACGGGTAATACCCGCTTAATTGGGTATGGGGCGGGGACGGGTAACAATGCGCCCGCCCCATTTAATCTTTAAAACTAAGAGAAAAGGCCAAACTACCCATTGCCCAGCCCAACAACATTTATACTTAAGACTCCACTTTCCTAGGCATTAAATAAAGGGAAAAATTCATAAATCCTAGCACAAGTAGTGATTTCAAAACTAAGATGACAAGTTTGAATGTGTAAAAATCCCTAAAATCAAGCAATTAGTTTCCATTCGTGACAAACTCCCTAAAATTTACGATTTAATTTATTTAATAAATTATTTAGTAAAATTTATGTATGATTTAATTAATTATATACTTTATTAATTAAATATATTGTGGTCACATATCTATACAATTTGGTCACAAATTCACAATTTAATTAGTCATATTATTTTTTGGTCAAAAATTATAATTTTTAAATGCCACAAATTATTTTAGAATCACAATTCAAAAACTTTGTAGGTCACAATTTGTTCAATGGTCACAGATCAAAAAGTAATCCGTCATAATTTTATGTATCGGTCACACAAAAATATTATATGTCACAAATTAATATATTTTTAGGTCACATTAGTCACGATTCATCTTATTAATCGATCATATATTATTTATTGGTCATAGATTAACCAATTAAATGGTCACAATCAATTAAATAATCTGTGACCACCACCACAACAAGCACAACACCACTAGCCACCCCTCATCATTGCACCACAAACCACCACCACATTAACATAGACCAATCACCAAAATAGTGAAAAACAAACCACTTCCTCCTCTTCATGCAACGCGACCTTCCAGCCTGTACTCTCCTCTCCAACGACTTGCACATCAGACACTCCAAGATATGTAACTTCTTCGATTGGATTTGTTCCTCTGTCCAAATCACCAGAATCATTTATTATCTCACTACTCTTCCTGAGTTTCTGCAAAGGATTCTGAAAAGTAAAATCATTATCTATCACAAGAACAGAAGACTCAATCCCATCATTGTTTTCAGTATCTCCAATTTCCTTCCCAACAGCAATTTATATCTGGCCATCAGTGTCAACAGATGGGTCCTCAGAAACTGCTCGACTTCTTCCATTTGATTCCTCATCCAATTCTTCATCACTATACTACTTAAGAAACCTAGCATGATTTCTAGAATCACCATTCTCTCCAACTTTATATTGGGCAATGGAGCCGGAATCATTTTCTTACACTGCCGGGGGGGAGAGAGAGAGAGAGAATAATTAATTGGAGATGATAGGTGGAGAGAGAGTAACGGGTGAGAGAATAAATTGGAAAGAGAAATTGATTAGACTAAGAAATTGGAGAGAGAAGATGGGTGAGAGAATGAAATTTATATAGTTAGTATTTTATATTTAAATATAAAAAATCTGATTTTTGAAATGTTAAACTACTCTTTTTATTTTTGAACCCTAGATTTTAACTCTAAGGTTTTGTGTAATTACCACTAAATAAAACCTACAGCCCACGTTACCCATTATTCAGTAATTCAGATTTCAAAGTCACTTTCTTGAAGTTAGAATTAGGGTTGCCATGTTACTGTGTTTCTTCACGCACTCACGTCTCACAGTCTCAATCTCTCTAGTCGTCTCTCACTTCCACTCAATTCTTCAGCCTAAGGACCCACGTAATTTGACAATCTCTCAAACCCTTCATCTTCTCCAATCTCCATGCTATCTTCTCTTTGTTAGAATGTTGGAATAGTAAATTTTTTGCATGGAATTTTATGGTATTTTATTTTGTCTTATACAATATTGTATTTTGATTAATTTCTATTTTAAACCATTTGAGTTAACTAAAAAAAACAAAATGTTGTAACGCCTTGCTAATGACGGGAGCTTCATGCATGAATTTGTGCATCAGAAGAATTAATATTCCGGAATTCTTTTCGAAGGAAAAGCAGAACTGGAATCAGTTGGATATGAATCTTTGGGAACTAACGGGTTGAGTGGTTGACCAGTTTTTAAACTAAAAAATATTTCAAAGCATACAGTGATCTCCCACATGATATTAATTTTATTCTCAAATGAAAACCATTACGTCTGTGTTATGTTTGAAACAAATTCAAAAGACTCTGATTTGTTCGAGTTAATTTGATAGACTCAAACAATTGTCTCATTTTAGCTTTGACCCCGGAACCACTTTTATTGAATAACATTTGATCTTATTATTACAGATTAGTTAAAATCGTTAGTTGGTTCTCTCATTTTATGTTGACAACTTGATCACTTACAATGGATGTCTCGCATATTTTTTTTATGTTGACAACTTGATCACTTCAAATATTGGTCATTGTTTTATTACATCACATGGGAATTTAAAAGTAGTGGATGCCATGCTATACTTGTGCCTTAAGCCACAAGTTATGGCCGGTGGCTAGTGTGTTCCTTTCTATTAATTCACAAATCTTCGTTAATACATCTTTGTTACGAAATGTTTCAAGTTCAACAAACAAATTGATGAAATATAGGTTGCGCATCTGATAAATTTTGTTATTTATCATATACCTTCATACTTACAAGTCGTATGGATTCATTTCAAATGTCTAGATTACAGCATTGTACATCCATACCAAGCATTGGAAGTACTCTAGCACGATCAAGTGATAATCCATCCCATGAAGACTTACCTAATCAAATAAATTCACAACAAGATCCAATAAACTTGTCTGATGAGGAAGAGGATAGTAGACAAAGTAAGAAAAGAAAATTGACTATGGTGGTATGGAAACACTTCAAAAAAAAAGGGTCATTAAGGAGGAAGACAAGGCAATTTGTAACTATTGTGAAAAAAATTAGGGGCTAAAAGTAAGAATGGGACAAAACATTTGCATGAACATATGAAAAGATGCCCTCGCCGAAATCAAAAAGATATTAAGCAAGCATTATTGAATCCATTAAAGGAAGCATGTGGAATGGTTTCACGTGTACTTACTCTTTTGATCAAGATAATGCTTGGAAAGAACTTGGAAAAATGATAATCTTGCATGAGTATCCTCTTTCAATGGTTGAGCACATTGGATTTAGAAGATTCACGAATACTTTACAACCATTATTTAAGAACGTTTCTCGTAACACTATAAAGAATGATATTCTGAAAATTTATGATTACGAGAAAGTGAAAGTGATGAGCTTATTAGAGAGGAACAATAGCGAAATTGCAGTCACTACAGACATGTGGACTTCTAGTCAGAATAAAGGATTCATGGCCATCACCGCACATTTTATAGATGATGCTTGGAGACTTCGAAGTGAAATTATAAGGTACTTATCTTGTATGAAATTAATTTAGCTCATTGTTATATAATATTTAAATTTATTTTTGTCATAATAATGTTATTTTTATTTATTGGATACATGTTCATATATGTGCCACGTCCGCACACGTCCGAGGCATTGAGTATATCGTTGATGGATTGCTTATTGGATTGGAATCTTGAATGTAAGTTGTCTACTTTGATGGTCGATAATTGTACTACAAATGATGCCATGATCAATATTCTTTTAGATAAACTTTCTGGTAGTTCACTTCTACTAAATGGTGAATTTTTCCATATGCGTTGTTGTGCACACATATTGAACTTGATTATTAAAGATGGTTTGGAGATCATTAGCTTGAGTGTTGAGAAAATTTGTGACAGTGTTGCATATTGGACAGTAACTCAAAAAAGATTAGAGAAATTTGAGACTTCAGCACGTTAACTGAAAATTTCTTGTTCCGAAAAGTTAACACTAGATTGCAAAACGAGGTGGAACTCTACGTATTTAATGCCTCATAGTGCTTTACAATATATGGATGTTTTTTCGACAAAAGCAACGTGAGATACAATATAAATGTTTGCCTAGTGGTGCAGATTGGAATTTGGCGAAAGAGATATGTGAAAGGTTGGAGGTGTTTTTTGAAGTGACCGAAATATTTTCAGGGACTAAATACCCAACATCCAACCTTTATTTTTCTAATATTTGTGAGATAAAGTTGTCAGTTTATGATTGGATGAAATCTCCTTATGATGAAATCAAAATGATGGCTTCAAATATGATTGACGAGTTTGAAAAATATTGGAGTGAGATTCATGGAATTTTGGCAGCAGCTAGTGTGTTGGATCCAAGATTTAAAATGAAGTTGGTTGAATATTATTTTCCAATGATTTATGGAAATGAAGTTTCGGATCTTGAGATTCAAAATGTTAGAAGATTTTGTCATAAGCTTCCAAATGAGTACAAAATAAGACATGGATCAAGTAGAAACACGACTGAGTCTTCAAACCGAACTTAGATATTTACTAATGTGAGCAAAAAGGATCCGTTGGTACGGTTTGATTTATTTGTTTCTAATACGACTAGTACTGATAGTATGGAATCGGAACTTGACATTTTCTTGGACGAGCCCGCATTGCCCAGATCGATTGATTTTGACATATTAGCATGGTGGAATACAAATTCAATAAAATATCACCTTTTGGCTAAAGTTGCAA